GCAGCCTTCGAACGAGGTGGGAAAAGAAGGAACAATTGCCCCTAATGAGAAGCACTACCAAGGCCCCTGTCTCAGAAAGGCATGCAACGGGAGAGGCCAGTTACCAGGAGATTCCTAAGATAACGGTCAAACAAGGAGCCATGAAACTGAGAACTATGATTTGATAAGAATCCCCCAGACTGCAAATAAATAAACAGGAACTATTATGATAATGACATTCTCAACATCATTGGTGTGCTATAATGTTGGACTAGGACTCAGGTTCAAATCCGCTTTTGATCATAAAACCCACTGGGCAACCTTGGGACACTCACAGACTTACAGGTCTGTGGTGAGAATAAAGTGGGAAGGGTAAGGGAAGCTGTATTTGATTTTAAGGTCATTGGGGGAGAGGTGTAACTGAAATGCAACTAATAAGTAAATATTGTTGCTCACACTTGCATAGGGAAGGGAGGCGGTCAGTCACTAGGCCTCTACTAATGATACAGCTGAAATACTCCAAATGTCGTAAAAAGGGATTGAATGGACCAGCTGGGACACATTTTCTAGGATGGAAAATTGCTGATCAGTCTGACATGACAAATCTGTTAAGCAAAGTGTATCATTTTGCTGGTATGAATATGTCTACTGTGTTTAGTTCCACTTACATTTTCAGTGTTAACTTTGCCTTATATTGCACTGTGTTCTTACAATAAGCAAAGAGAAGCTTAATTTTGAAGTGATCCCTCCCTTTCAAAAACAATGTACGGCCGCCTTTGGATTCAGATTGTTCTTCTGTATTAATAGAGATACTACTTAACAGTGAATAAAAATCAATTTTATAAAACGTAAAGGAAAAAAATCAATTTTATTTTTTATTGTATTCTTGAAGGGTTTCATGGCTGGGATCTGATGGTTGTTGTGGGTTTTTCGGGCTCTTTGGCCATGTTCTGAAGGTTGTTCTTCCTGACGCTTTGCCAGTCTCTGTGGCCGGCATCTTTGGAGGACTGGAGTAGGAACTCTGTACATGCTGTTTTTTATTATCACAATGTATATTCTTCTTTAGAAGAAAGTGGGTTTTGATTTATGCTATTATTTAAGGACCTCATTTTAGAATAGGACTTATAAAATTCTGTATTAGCAGATGATGCATGTATCCATTTCTTCTTTTTTGAAGGTTTTGTAAGTAGGGATTCCAACCATTCTCAAATAAGGTATTTCATTGTATAGGGCTCCATAGGCTTCTGTATAGGTTTCGATGAGCGTTTCTGTTTCCCCAAAATTCAGAGTATAATCTGAATTTGTAGTATCTGATATTTTCAGTTTAGAGGATGCTACCTGAAAATTTTGAAATTCTCAAACTGGGTTTCTCTTTCCAGGGATATACATCTGTGACCAATAATATTGAGAGGTAGACCTGGTTTCCATCTGTGACTGAAATCATTCCTGGAGAGCTGCTCCAGCCTTCCTCACAATCTAACGTAATGTAGGGGGATTCTTGGAACCTTATTTCAAGATTGCTTTCAGTAGTCAGACACAGATTCCTTTAGGCCATCAACTCTTGCTGTGGTTCCTCTGCAACTTTGTGTACACTAAATCAAACCCATGCCTTTCTTTCTGAAAGTGCAACCTTCAGAAAACTCTGATAAAGTTCATCATTTTCCTAGTATGAAAATGTCAGTGGATGGTAATTTATTGGAGATGGAGTAAGCCTGTGTGAGAACATTGTGGAATATGTGCATGAAAGTCATGGCAAGCAAGAGCACACTTTTTCACATCTATGTGTGTGCATTCTGAGTAGCATTTTAACCTGTGATTTCAATTTACTCTGCTTTCATTGGTAGCACCTCGAATATGCTCTATTAACTGATCAGCTCAGGGTGGCAAAAACACAAAAATCGTGTTTTGAAAGCTTTAATTAAGATATAATTTGTCTCACTTGATTCGAATCTCACTAAAGAAAAATGCCCTGACCTGTCCCCCTTTGCAGCATAGACAGCAGGGGGTGCCTTGCCAAAAGGATACAGTGGTGCCTCGCTGTTTAGCGAAATCATTGTCTAGCAAAAAGCATTTCCCCATTGGAATGCATTGAAACCTATTTAATGTGTTCCAATGGGGAAGAATCGTCGTTGTCTAGCGAAGATCGGCCATAGGAAAGCCGCTTTGCAAACTGCCGATCAGCTGTTTAAAATCGCTGTCTTGTGAAGCTTAGGTCCCGAAAACCCCCGTTTTGTGAGCGCGGAGGGAGCTGTCAAAATCGTCGTCTAGTGAAAATCAGTTCGTGAAGCAGGGACCAAACATTGTCCAGCAAAATTCCTCCATAGGAACCACTGTTTTGCGAATCGCTATAGTGATCGCAAAAAGCCAATGTCTAGCGAAAAAACTGTCATGCAGGGTAACTGTCTAGTGAGGCACCACTGTATTCTGAATGGGGCAGAAAGTAGTTGAATTAAAATCTCAGTGAATGCATCTCATGGAAATCAAATAGAAAAAAATATCTGAAGCCAGAATAGGAACCTGCAACCATCAGGTTATTAATGAACTACTCTTCTCATTATTCCTTTCCTTAGCCAGCGTGGCTGGAGCTCATGGGAATCAGCAACGCATGAGGACCAGAAGGTCCACATTCCTGCTTTTTTTAAAATGACCTTCCTCCAAGAGAAGATGGCTCAGACGTATTTTTGCACACCCCATACAGTTGCTGGCACAGGAGAAGAAGTAACCATAGCTCCCAAACCCATGTAGTTGTTGCTGCATATTTCAGGACAACAAAGAAAACACAGAACTGTAAAGTTCCTTGATGCATTTCCTGATACCAGCCACCTACACTACTAACTGCTGAGATGCAATTTAAAACCAAGCACAGAAGCAAGAAAAAAAAACACCCATAATACCAGGGAGAGAGTCTAACAATGGTTTATCACCTATACGTATATACACATAGTGAAAACTCAAGCGTGTTATCTGCAGCTGTTGTCTGTACTTAGCCTAGAAGCAGGAGGATGAGCAATGGGATGTACTTGCAGAGGAAAGTTCATATACTGTAGTTCTTTCCCATTTGCAAAGACCTTGGGCTTCCACTGCACAGACACAAACTGCATGATTATTTCCAGGAGTGGTAACCGTATTACTTTGTTAAAGCAGAAACAACGGGGAGTCTTGTGGTGGCTTGCAGATTGGACCTATGCTTTGTGGACTGGAGCCCCCTTTTCAGACTGGAGCCTGGATCCGTTTGAGGAACTGGGCTGCAATCTCTGATGGTTTATGTCAAATAAATATTGTTGGACTTTAGGGTTCTACAGGACACTTCCTTGTTTCAAGTGTGCAATGGAATAACTTTGTAGCTCAAGGGAACTATACAGGTTTTGTTCCAGTTGAGGCTAAATTAAGTGAACAACAAGAGCAAGCACAAGAAACAAGAGTATGGCATGAAACACCAAGATATAATCAACCCCCTCTCTTTAGTGACCTGTATATGTAGGAAAGAACATGCTTTTAAGAGTTGCTGGCATTTCCTTCCACCATTTAGTCATACAATTTTAGTGTAAATAGGATAAATTGTACACAGTACACCAGGTCTCCTCCCCTCCCCTTACCTGGGACATAGTTTGCAGTGCAATGTCGGGTGGCCATCTTCACTGAGACTGGCTCTCTTCCTTGACCCTCTGTGATATGTGCCAGTGTGGTTGGGAAAATCAGGCCTAGTTTGACTGGCTTCCTGAGGCAGGCTGGTGCATTTGAGCAGCACTAAAAATCCTTCCCAGTTTGGCTGGAGCAGCTCTCTATGATACATCTCCAACCCACCCATCCTTCAATTTTGTGGACCCTTGTGGTTAGCGATATTGTTTTCATGCTTTGCTACTTTGGGTTAAGTGTTTGGGAGGCGTTCAAGTACTGTTGGTTGCGTGAGTTGTTGTTGCTAGGGTTTTGTGTGTGTGGGTTTTTTTTGGTCATATTCTTCTCATGATTTTACTTGGTTATAACTTAGGTGACTGAAGCACAGAACAGGTTCTCATTCAACTGGGTAATACAGAAGGCAGGCAGGCCCCTATCCCAGAGCAGTCTTCAAAACTTGATATGAACAGGGCTATGCTCAGTTATAATTTTAGAACTGCAGAGCTGGAAAAGACCCTATGGATCTTTGAGTCCGGCCCATCAAGGAGGCACAATGGGGAATCAAACTCCCAACCTTTGGCACCACAGCCAGAGACCTAACCACTGAGCTACCCAGGGTTCCCAAAGTTGTGGACATTATTTTATCCACCTTTTGGCAAAACATCTGGTGTCCTGTGTCTTGTGTCTAAGGACTGTTAGCAACATGCCATGAAACGCCACTTGGGCTGCAATTAATCTGCTCACACCATACCTTGTGACATGTACAGTATATGTTTGCTCTAATGCTCTTAAGAAGTCTGTGCCTTTAAATTGTTAATATTATTTGTAAGCTGGCTTAAACATTGATTTTAGGGAAGTCATAAACACACCATTAATAAAATGAAGGCTATTTCAGTGCAGAAATCTGTTGGTGAAGAGGAAGGGGAGGAATTTCAAGCCCCAAAAAGGTTCCTCTCCACAAATGTATGAATTAAGACATAACGGAGGCATTTTAAACAGAGGAGATACATTCAACACATCAAATGTACCTGAGAAAAGTGAGTATTCACAGAAAAATGGCTCTTTGGTGGGGCACTGATGTGTGTCTGTGCACACACTGTGGGCTGGGTTGTGGCAATGGTGACAGTGGGCAGCTGAAACTGCAGATACTGGTTTCTACTACTGTATTTGTAAGCCGTAATTTTAAATATGTTTAGATGTTAATTGTGAAGTACTCTGAGCTCTTTTAAGAATAGGGCTACAAACTGAGCAATTAACTAAATGAGATGTGAACTATTTAAGTAACAATGGGTCAGTTTTGGAGTGGAATGTTACCTCCAGTGTTAACAACTCATAAAAAACCTTACAAACAGATGCTGCATATGAAAAATGTGATCAGATGGAAAAACCAGAACAGCAGACATAGCTCTTTATTGACTGTGTTTATTTGATTCTACGAAGAAGAAAACAAAAAGCAAATCCCTTTCAATGTTCACCATGATTTTATTTTAAGCGTTTTCTTTAAAAATAGGGCTGCTTACTTGGTCTTGGGCAGCCACTCCTGTCTAATGGCTTTGCTCAAAACCAATGGCAAATGCAAGAGGCTGCTTTCGTGGACATCACATCAAGCAGATGTCTTGACCAAAGGACCTCCTTCGAATTTATTTGGCTCACTTTATCCAAGTATTTCCAGTTTAAATTAAAGTCAAAGGTTGCAAAGCTCTTGTTTACCCCTGGCAAGGGGCTCTGGCAGCGTGCATGTTTATTAAGATATTACAGAGCTATCTTGGCACGTGTGCCTGTTGGAAAGATCTAAGTAGGAAGCCGAGCAAATCCATTTTGCTGGAGACCTGGAGGAATTAGATAAAGAAAAAGGAGCTCTCCCAAAGTGTGCATATTAAGGAGCAGAGCTATCAGACATCAGGCTTAGGCAGCCCTCAGGACATGAAAAGGGAAAGCACAGCAAAACCAATTGCTACTAAGCTCAAGGCAAGAAACGCCCCCAGGCTGAAAGAGAGCACTGAGCACTGCCATCTACACAGCCCTTGTGCACACAGCGCCAGAGGCAACAAAGCCAGCGCATAGCGAGAGGCAAGCAACAGCTTTCAAAGAGGACAGGGAGCTGTGAGCTGAAGCAGCAGGACACTGGAAGGAAGCCTCACTGCCGGGAACACCACGCCTCCTCTGCTCGGGCAGTATGTGAGAAATCCAAGTGTAAAGGCTACAACAGAAAGCAGTTAAGAGAAGCAGCTGCTGGCTTAGGTTCTTAGGAGCAGTGGACTCGGCTGCTCTGACCCAGATTACCAAGCTGTGGGTCAGGAAAAAACTGAAAGGCTCACTGGGCACATTAAGAGCAGCAAACAACTCTCAGACTGCAAGGTCTGTGGCATTTTTTGCATTAGACAAGAGGCTACAAAAGCTGGTTCCAAAAACTGGCCTGTTTAACTGTCACAGCTGCAGGACAAGAAATACACATGGAAATGGATGCTTATGGCAGAGATAGTTTTGGGATCTTAGGTATGACACAAAGACCATCATACCACACGTCTTGGCCTTCTCTGAGTGCAAAGGTAGCTATAAACCTTCTTCTACTCTTGTCCATCTGCACAGGAGTGGCAATGTACTCCTGTGTCTCCCCTCAGCTTCCCCTCCCTGAACTTCCAACAGGCCTCCAGAGACCACCTTCATCGCTCTTTGCACTAAGCGGCATTAACTGCTGAAGCGTCTTCCCCTACCGCCGCCTTCAAGCATTCCACTTCAACCTTCGGGCTCACCCGCAGGGATAACAAGGTACGAGCAGCACTGGGAGGGAATGGGAAGGACAGATCCACAAAGAGGCATTTAAGATTCCATATTGTCCTCTCCCTGAAACAATTAGCTGGCTCCAGGGGATATTTCTGGAAACTCTTTGTAGATCTCTAGGATTATCATTTTGTCCATCTGGCACTGCGGGCTCTCCTCTTCTTCCACCATAATGCGTTGCAAAGTTCCTTGCAAGTCGGTGAAACGGTGCTTGTGCTGCAGATAAGGTGTAGACCTCATGATAGCATGCATCAGAGACAAGTACTCCATTCGTAGCTGTAGAAGCAAAACACATCAGAAAAGGGTTCGAAGGGAGATAAACAGAAATGGCCACCTTCAGGAAAGGGAGGGAAAGAACTGCTGTTTATCAAGCACAAGACTCCCACCACAAGCCATGCCAGCCAGAGCGGCCTTTGGGAGAAGGTTTGCTGAGCAATCTTGGCTCCCTTGTCCCCCCCCCCCCC